TCTCCACAGCAGATGCTTCCTGTCATCTGACTTTCACTTCCTGTCTGGAAACCAAACTGTTCCTCTGTTTGCAGAGACAATTTTAGAGCTACAAGCCAACATGACTAACCTCTCACCTATAAATGAGTCTAATGTGTGAGTGTCAGCATGAGATGCACTCAGTTTCACCTCTCGCCTCACCAGCTGAACCTTGTAACCTTTTCCACCAGACAGAATCAGCACGTACACATTTCAGATTATAACAAACATTCAAAAGCATTTAAGATTATAGATTCAACTCAACAGTTTAGTGTGGTTATAACTGCACCTGTAATACAGGCTAATTGGGTACCAATATGTTTAAACATCTGAATACAATATCAATACTGCAGATTGTATTATTAATGCAATGGTAATGATGATAATTATTAACAATAGCAGCAAAATAATTGCTAATTCCTCACAACCTGAGCAGCGAGCAGCAGGTAAATACGAGGAAAGCTGCAGACGCAGTCTTGTGTGCAGAGAAAAGCACAGAGACTCATTACGACCTCGTTAGACAGGAATAATGTTTACTGGCATATTCATAAAGTGCTCCTCTTCATCAAGTTTACACTGCAAAACACAGATGGTTACACTGAGCAGAGAAGTTCTTACTTTAAACAACTAAAAAACAAACAGAAACATTTCTAACTTTAAGCACAGAAATACATCAGAGACTGGAGGAAAGCTGCATTCAAAGAAACAGGAACATGCTGGAAAAACCAGCGTTTCCTGCCCCTGCGATTCATCAGAGGATGCTGACTGCAGCTCTGTCAGTGCGCCCCAGGGTGGCTGTGGCTACATGTAGCTGCCATCACCAGTGTGTGACTGTGTGTGTGACTGTGTGTGTGAATGTGTGTGAATGTGTGTAGTTGTTGCATCTTCAAAAACAAAAATAAAATAACTAAGACTTACAGTGGAGTATCGTTGCAACTGGTTTACTGAACCTTCTTTTCAGTGCATGTACAGAACACCAGTGTCCTCCTACAGGACACACTCTTCTTCCACTTCCTTACAACATTAATGTAACACAGAACCAATACTGCCTCTCCTGGCGTTACCACTGTAACGACACTCATTCTGTTTCTTTCAGATGAATAACAGGAACTTAGGATGTAGGTATCTATTATGCATACTCATATATTTATATAACCAACTAATTTCCTGCGATACCACAATAGTGTAAAGCGCTTTACAAATACAAGCCATTTACCATTTACCATGTACACTGTTGTTGGTATATATGTATGATTTGTATCACCTTCATGTTTCCAAACCCACATCATGACCAGCAGCTTTACAGCTGTGGCTCCAGCAAACATCAGCTGATACTAGAAATTAATATTAAATAAATTCTAACAACAGCTGATCAAGCTTAAACGTTGTTTAGCGCGACATCCACTGGTTTCCTCTTTCTGGCGCAAAGTGGGCGATAAACAAACAAGAGAGACGATCAGCTGATCATTGATCAGTTTCATGATTGAAGTAGAAACAGGAGAGAGAGAGAGAAGAAGCAGCTGCAGCGTAACGACAGAATAAATCCAGCTTTGTGTCTTTTTTTACTGTAGCTGAAGTCCGGGACGAATCGCTTCCTTTTCCCCTCAATATGGATCATGATCAACTGGCTAATCCACAGTTACAGATTACCAGCTGATCAGTGATCTCTGAGCTCTCAGCTGGCTCACAGAAACGAAACTTAGCGTCTCCTCGTGCTGCCTTCAAGGACCCCTCTGAAGTCACGTTTCACATCCCGTCCACGTGCCTCTTTTTAAAAATGAACTTTATGCGCCAACCACAGTCATTTTTAACCACGTGATTCTTCCTTATATGACGACATTTGTTCCTCCGTATGAACTGAGACTGAACTCGTTTTGCAGACACGCGCAGAGACACAGATCAGTGTGGACGCAGCTCTGTCCCTCTGCAGCACCTGTTTGTGTTCGTGGACCTGCAGGCAGAGCTCTGTGATTACAGAGCACGTGACTCCTTTCCAGATGTTCCACCTGTGCTTCACGTAACTTTATGTAAACCTGTCCACGTGAACGAGGCTGTGCAGCTTACCTGTGAGCCACCGTCACACGTCATCACATCATTTAGGACGCTTGGCGCTGCAGTTCACCTGAAATAAGCTTCGTTAGAGTGGCTGAGCATGGAGCCAGAGGGGACACGCTGGGAGTGAGACCCGTGGAAATGACTGTGTAACACGAACAAGTTCAAAGTTTGGCATTTCACGTCACAAGTCTGCGTCACCCGGCCGAGCTCTCTGCTGTACTTGCATTCAGGGAGGACCGTGAAGGCCTCGCGTTAAGTTTCCATTCTGTGACGGAGCGCGCGGACCGGTCACTCGGTGCTCACGCTCTCCCTCATCCTCATCATCACTTTGCTCCCTCTGAGGAGGAAGAGGGCAACATGAGGTGAGTGTTTGAGACTTCCGATCAGTCTGATAATCGATCACTTATTGGAGAGTGAAGTCAGCTCAGGGCCTCCCTTTAACCTTTAACCTTTAACCGAGTCGATCTGGATCCAGGGTGTAATCAGATTACTGTGAAATCTGCAGAGAGCCGTCATCAGAGTAACGCCCACGCGGGGGATTCTGTTCACCTGGGCGAAACGTTTCGTCATCCAGGTGACTTCTTCAGTTTCCTCACCTGGATGACCGAGGATGCGTGAACCGCGGCGGTGTGACGTCACCGTCCGGCCTGCCGCACCTACGACGTTGCTTTCGTTTGCTTTTCTCCGTCTCTGTGTAGCGACAACATCCACAGTACTCAAACCGGAAGTATTACTCTAGTAAAACGCGTCAAAGCTGCCAGGAGCAGAACAGTGACCTGAGGTCAGCCACCCACAGAGAGGAGAGGAAGAGGCTGCAGGCAGGGTGGAGGTGAGACTGCTGTGATGGGTGGAGACGGTGAAGATGTTCAGATGTAATGGGGCCGTCAAAGGGACAGCTCAGAGTCAGAGGTGGAGACACACCGGGACACACCCGGACCATAACAGTGTCCTTAAATGTTAATGGAGTTTGTAACCCAGTTAAAAGAGCTGAGATTATGACTAAACTGCAAAAGGAGACACAGATAACTTTCCTACAAGAAACTCATTTATCAAAAAGAGAAAACGAAAAAGGAAATTTGGGTTCAAAAACACCTTTTACACTCTCACACAAA